AGCAAATGGCTATTTACGATGAGTTTGCTCGTCAGCCGAGACTACTTCCTCTCGCCGATAGAGGCTCGGTAGCAGGCTCCTTGGCCGGTACGACCCACGTTGCTACAGCTTCAGATGCAACAACGTCAATCACCAATGATCTTCTGCGGGATCAATTTCCCACTGTTCCAAACCTTCCAGCGCCCGCTGAGACTCCTACAATTCCACTTGTCAACAACCAGCAAGCCCCTTACAGCCAGCCTTCAGCTGCTCTGTCCAACGGAAGAATGCCAAATATGGCCATGAATCCCCAAGGGTTGCCGGAAAAGGTGCAAAGGCTATTGGCTGACTTACAACAAACCACTGCCGATATTCCTGAGCAGCACTATATGGATCTCCCTCGACCACATCCCGTCATTGAGATCTTGGATGCCTTATACGGTTTAATCATCAGAAGCCAGCAAGGACAAGAACCTTATGACATCTGGATTGCAGAGCAAATCTGTGGAATAGTGTTTAGTGGAAGTGAAAACACTTTGGTGATTGAGTGCTTAGTACATGTACTCGAGAACATTATCAGGATTGGTGGTCGTTGTGCTGTTCGTGTTTCCATGATTATTGGACAGCAAGTTGGAGAAGCACTTCTCCACGTTCCACTGATTATTGCATTGGTCAAGGCTGAAATGATTGATTGGGCACGCGTCGACTTCGCCACCTCTACCGCCTTGGCAGAGCGCAAAGAAGGGACCCTAGAATTCTTCCTTTCTCTCTTGGAGCAGGTCTTCTTATGTGATCGACCACTAGCGCTGTATACTGATGTCGCGAAAAGTTTGGAAGTCGCTTTCGAATGGATTTCAAAAGAGCCTAACTTGGAAGTTGGCCAGCAGCTCAAGGAGAAGCTTGCAGCTTCTGCCCTTCCAAAAAGCGTCGGTTGCAGTCAAAATGACCGACTTGCCTTTCGTCAAGATCAAATGGAATATGTCTTCGAGGAGTGGATCCACTTGTTCAGCAACCCCATTGCTCCGGAAAGGGCAGCGCTGGTATTCATATCTCACATGTATAACAGGCAGCTTATCAATGATAAGGAAGACCTTTGCCTTTTCTTACGCCTTTCCATTGATACATCAGTCGAACGTTTTGAACAACAGATTCAAATGCATGGCTTCCTTAATGATGCCTATGTCCCTATCGATGCATTGGCAAAGCTTATATCTCTACTGGTAAGGGGCTATGAACGCGAAGGCGAAGTGAAGGGTGACAAAGCCGCGTTCTTGGAATCAGTTCTATCAGTCATAACATTGGTTTTAAACCATCACCATGTCATGCGGGGCGAGGGCTTCAATCAAAAGGTCTTTACACGACTTCTTTCTTCCATGCTTTGTCATTTGAATACTTTCTCGACTGATTTGTCCGAAACGGAGAACCAGCAAATCATTTTGACATTCGCTGAAAAGCTCATCAAACTTCAACCAGCTTACTTCCCGGGCTTTGTATACGGTTGGATGACCTTGATCTCTCATCGCTTCTTCCTTGTACCATTGATGGGACTTGCGGATGATATGGGGTGGCAACCATTTGCGAAACTTGCGGAATGTTTACTGTCCTATACAGGCGAGCTACTGAAGCCATTACAGTTGACATTGGCGGCAAGGGATATTTATCAAGGAGTTCTCAAGTTCTTTCTTGTGTTACAGCATGATTATCCTGAATTCGTAGTTGCATACTCGACGAAGTTATGTGCCAGCGTGCCAAGTCATTGTGTTCAATTGTTGAATCTAATTCTCAACGCTCATCCAACAAAGACTCAATTGCCAGATCCATTACAGCCAGGATTGAAAATTGAACGTATTGAAGAGATCCGTATATCACCAGAGATCGTCAGCCTTGATATCGAGGGAACCTTACAATCAACAGGTCTGTATGAGATTCTCGAACAAGCCTTACAAAGTGGCCCTTCGGAGGATGCGGTGGCTCACATTACACATACTATACAACGCAAGCAAACCGAAGTGAGCGGTCCAGGATTTGTGCCTGTCAATGTTGACTTGCAACTGATTGAGTCTGTCGTTTTACACATCTGTATGTACGCTGTGACGCGAGCAAGTCAAAAGGGGGAGCTTAATAGTTTTGCTCGCGGTTCTACTGATGCTGCTTTGCTCTCAATGCTTGTTCACGAACTCAATCCAGAAGCTCGACACTATCTTCTGACCAGCATGGTCAACCAACTTCGTTTCCCTAACGCCCATACAAATTACTTCGTGCAAGCGCTCCTGGAACTATTCGGAAATGACGTCAATGATCAAGAGGAGTCGGATATCAGTCAACAAATTCTTCGGGTTTTGTTAGAAAGAGCATTTGTATCCCTACCGATCCCTTGGGGCGTGCTTAACATGGTCATCGAACTCGCCAAGAACGAGAACAAATACAAATTCTTTGACTTGCCATATATCAAGTCGACACCAGAGGTAAGATTCGTGGTCCTTTCACTTTGCTCAAATGGCTGACAGAATTTTAATTAGGTCGCTGAGCGGATTGCTGTTATCGTGCAGCGTTCTCTCTCAAGATAAAGTTACACACCATCAACCAGATCTGGATAATTTGATTCTGGCACAAACATATAGATGTGTCGCACCAGTGATTGAAATTTTCAAGATCTGTCTCATTGTTACATAACCTCTTAGGTCACATTCGGCGTTCCATGTTACAGATCTTTCCGGTTTGTCTACTGCATAGCGAGTGAAAGGAATTGGGATTTTTGCAAGATCTGCTATACTTATGGTGGGAACAGGGAACGACAAAAACTTTTATTTAATGCATCTTACATGATTAATGTTTCCTTGTCTACCTTCTGTATGACAGAAATTTAAGGGTGGGCAAAAAATCTGGTGGCGTGGGGAAAACAGACATATGGCGTGGAAATGGTTTGGCTTACTTGCTGTTACGTGGGAAGGCGGCAAACTTTTATGTATCATAAATGGAGTTCAATATATTTTTTCTGGAAATAATCACATTCGTTTGTGACGATCGTTCTCCTTTACTCCTACCAGATTAACTACTAACAATCTTTGACGGGTGGATTTATTTATATTATTATGACGATGTAGTCAAAACTGCCGTTCTTAGCTCTTCTTAGAATCACATTGTGGAGAAATCCTCGCTTCAGTTGGGAAAGATCTTCTCATTTTTTGATTGAAACTCACTGCTTCTGGTTTGATGAAAGTTGATTGTGGCTAATTAGGCTCAAGTTCAAAGCTGCCCCACAGCGGGAAATTGGGGACTCCGCAAGCGTGGCCGAGCTCAGAGATATTCACAAACATGATATATATCTGCTTGACGTGCTAGGAAAGAAAGGGGAATGATAAACTTGTTAGCTAGACGTCGATGAGCTGATGAAGGGTGTTTTTACATAACTTACATGTTATCGATACCCATACATTTCCCTATTCATATTTCCGTATTCATATTGATTTTCTTCTAGTATTAGTTCACGTCCTTCAGACCTAATGTTTGGTAAAACAATCTTCTTGGCAGCTGCGTTGCCAGTTTTTCTTGCACATGCTCAAGGGAGCTTCACGACTTGGTCACCGCCTGGTCCAGGTGATGTTCGTTCTCCATGTCCTGCGATGAACTCCCTCGCCAATCATGGATTTCTCCCGCATGATGGAAAAGGGATCACGGTCCCTGATGTTATCACCGCGTTGGATGTTGCTTTGAAGTATGATTTCTCTTTGTCACATCAATTCTTGTCCATCGTCTCCTAACTGTACTATACATTGATTGACCACTGTAGATCTAATCCCTGATCTAGCGTGGGTGTCGATTTTGCCACTGCCATTGGCACCGCTGGTCTGCTGTCAGTCCAGGGCAATCTTTTCGCCACATCTTTCAACCTCGATGATCTAAACGAGCACAATTTTCCCATCGAACACGACGGATCTCTTTCCCGCGCGGACTACTACTCCTCTCCAAGCCACGACGATTATTCATTCAACCAAACAATTTTCAACCAATTCATCTCATTCTTCACCTCTCCCCAGACATCCATCCCCGTCGCCGCAGCCGCCAAATACGCACGTGTAAAATATCAAGAAGAGCATGATCCACATTTTTCATATTCAGCTCAGCATTTTGTATTAAGCTATGGAGAGACGGCGTTGTATTTGAGTACGCTGGGGGATCCGATGGAGGGAATCGCGAATGTAGAGTGGGTGAGGGTTTTCTTTGAGGAGGAACGATTGCCGTATCGAGAGGGGTGGAGAAGAGGGGGCGTGCAAACGAATTTGGCGAGTTTGGCGGGCATGATTGAGAGGTTGATGTTGGCTAATAGGGATGTGTTGCCTGAGGGCTTGGAGGTGACGGCGCAGACGGTGGGGATTGCTTTTGGGGGGTATAATCCGGTTACGGGGGTGTTGGGTCATGTGGTTGGGTGATTGCTTTGGAATGGTGGAGGCTATTAATGATGTTTCTGTGCCTTGAGACCACCTAGAATCCAAATTGCATCGTCAATCTGGTCAAATTGAGGTCTCAAAGATATCTAATTGCGAATGGCTTTTGTTAACTGCACTACAAAGTATTCTCGTTGATATTTGTCTCAAAACATATTGACAATCACCATTATAACTTTAATGATAATGAGATTTCACTACTACCGCGTTCAACTCTCGCTAAGAAAACAGGAATGTTATTGCTTAGTCTAAGGAGAGTGCAATGAATAAGAGTCTACTTTCGAATTCTCAACCTGGACCATGATGCTCGCGTTCAAGAATTGGCTGCCTTGTCTGCTTGGATCCCGAAAATAGTGAGACTTAAGTTGATCCTATCGTAAGGTTGTGAAAGCCAAGAATCGAAATTCAATATTTTCCATTAGTAATTTACGGTAAACTAAATTCAAAAGTAGATCAAATTCTCAAACCTGCCCCAAACTCCAGATCTCCCTACCTGCCTATGATCACTTAAATGGTACGATTAAGGGTATCTCGATTTCAACTATTCAACCCATTACGCCGACTCTTTGAGCAATCTCACGATCCATTCGCCTGGCCACCTCGACTTCTCCTTCGAGTGAGCCGAGCCGTGCCTCCAGTACCACCTTCACTAAAACTTGTGCCCAGGCCAGAATCACTCCTCCTACCAGCTTGCCAACTCCCTTCCCCGTCTTCATCTTCATCGTCCGCATCCCCTCCAAGCGGCAGGATCACTGCTTCTTCCAATATCTTGTCTTCCTCGTCCTCTTCTTTCTTGATACCTACTGGTGGATATATCAATGGCATTTGACCCCTTACAGTCGGAAATGTCCTCGGAGTATCTGAAAGATCTGGCTCATCATCCGTTGCCTCTTCTTTGATTGCATCTTCACTCTTTTCAATCTCTTGTCTCTTTCGAACCATTTCTTTCTCCTTTCCTCCAAAAAATAACTTCAGGATTGCCCACCCAACAATACACCCCAGCATTTCCGCCCCCCAAAATGTGCCCACCCCGATGATCGCACTGCTAATCCTCCAATTCCACATCCACCACCGCAGTCCACTTAACTTCGCTCTCATAAATATTCTGCATCCATATATCTGTACTTCGCCCGAGTCTTTCTCAATAACCACTTCCACTGCACTTGGTATGTTCTTGTTTCCTCTTGGAAAACTAACACCTTCCGCCATTTCCACGGTAATTTTTTCGTCTTCTCTTTTCCACCCGAGCACATACAGTGGTGCATTTACCAGCTTTCCCAATCCAGATACCAATTCACTCTCGTATGTCAGAATGGTAGGTCGCCGAGACGAGAAGAGTACATCTTCATTCTTAGTGATTCTTGATAGAGGCAGTAGATGTTCGACGCCTGGTATCAAGCTAGTGGTCTTATAATTAGGTCCTAGGAAGTTCACATGTATCATAAAATTTCCGGCTCTCAGATTGAGGGGAGAACGTGGCATGTGTAGTTCCAGTTGAATATCGTATTCTTGACGTGTTACAAGGGAATTGTCGAGGGGTACAATGCCATGCGGATGTTGGCCTGGTCTGCGTTTGTTCCTGCGTTAGTATATCTCATAGTCATTTATTCACTACATCCATAGCAATACCGACCACAGGGGCTTCTTAAATGGAATGATATACGCACGCAAATTGTAACCAGACCCTCCTTTCCACACCAAGCGCTGGCACCCAGCTCCAATAGAACCCCGCATAAGCTACCACAGCAAACCCCAACAACACAAGTGACGTCGAAAAGAATAATATGGTATTGAGGTATGTTTTGCGCGCCGGTTTCGAGGTCGCGATCGCAATCGGCTTACGAATCATGGTATCCTATTCGCAGATGTGTAGTTAGCGATCCGAAAATGAGGAATGTAATAAGTTTGTAGGAAGAAAACTGGTGCGCGGCGATGAGATTGGGAACAATTACCATTGTTATGGGTGAACTTGTTATTGCATTACATTATTTGCGATAAGAACCAATATGAGAACATGGAAGTCTGTGAAGTGCAGCTTGACGCGAATGCGCGTTCCGCTGTGAGGTTGGTGGGCAATGTTTACGAGACAACGCTTGTGTGAGATAATGACGTCGGCCCCAAGTAACCCCTGCGCTTAGCTTGTGATAAACTCCCGGTGAGCTCAGTCAGCTCTTTGTGGTAATCTTGTGAATTCGACTGCAATTATGATCTTACTTGAGCTACGTCGAGAACTCACAAAATTAATAAAAACTTGCCACACTGGATCTTTGATAATGATGAACTATTAGAGCACACACACAACCTAATATGGTTTCCCGCCTTGAATAGCCTCATTGCTGTCACAAACAATCAAGCTCACAAATCTTCATCTGCGCCGTACAATAAAACTCGACCAAACGTAACATCAACGGGCACAATGGCTTCCCAAGCTGACATGCAAGATCTTCTCCGTCTGCTCACAACCGGTCGTAATAAAGTTCCAATGCTTACAGCAATGCAACGGGTTAAAGCCCTACAAATCGCATCCATAAACCCCTCCATTTCAGCCGTCGCATCCACGCCTCTTGATACCCTCCAGTCCGCGCTTTCTCTTGATGAGAAAGCCACGAAGTCTCTAATTACTGCTTGCAGGAATGCTAGTAAGACAGCAAGCAAACGATCTGCGAGCGAGACTGATGCCACAAGTAAAGGAGCTGTGAAACGCGTTAAAACATTCGAATCGGCATATTCTCTACCAGTTGAACAAACGGAGGAGGAACTAGAAAAGAGTCTCGAGCTACCAGAGAGTGTTAGGGATGAAGAAAGGATTGAGAAGACAACTATTTATACGAATAGAGCACCGCTAGTATTGGCATGGACATTGCAATTATTGAAATATACGATGCCGGGACAGGGTTTAAGTGGGAGATTGAGTTTGGCGCAGGCGTTGGTTAGTGCGAACAGTAAGAGTAAAGCAGAGAGCCTAGGTCTAAAAGGAAAAGGAAAAGATGAGGATGAAGGGAAAGGATGGCCTAAGGTAAAGATCATAGGGAGGGAGATCGGCGTCTTGAAGAGAGGAGGCTATGATGGGCCGGAGGAAATCAAAGGAGAGAGCGGAGTTAAGGAGGAAGAAGACGATATTGTGACTACAAGCGATGCGAATGACGAATGGGCGGTTTCCACACCCATAATATCTAAGGGTTCGACGTTCATTGCTCGCTCGATATCTGTATCTTCACCCAGTCAAGCTCGTACCCATCTTCAAACCCTTCTTAAGGATACCTCCGTCTCGGATGCAAGCCATAACATTACAGCCTTCCGTGTTCAAGGTGAACACGGAATCATTGAAGATTCTAAAGACGATGGCGAATCAGGTGGCGGCAAACATATCCTGGGAGTGCTTCAAAATAATAATATAGTTGGGGTTCTGCTTGTTGTCTCAAGATGGTATGGAGGTGTTATGTTAGGGCCTGACCGCTGGCGGATCATGTCACAGGTCTCTAATGATGCATTATCACAACGCTTAAGGGTCGCGGGAAACATCAGAGGAGGAGAACAATTGTGGGGATTAGACATTGAAGCTATTAGTTCGTCGGGTGGAGGAAGTATGCCTATTCATAGGCCAGAGGGGGCGAGAAAATATATCCTTAATGCCTTTGCTTCGCCTCCCGTGGATGAAAATGATGAGAAAGGGAGGAGTAAAAAGAAGAAAACTGCGAAAGCGTTAGCTGAAGAAAAAGAAGACAATCTAGGATTGCTGATGGGAGCACTAGACTTGTTATTTGAGAGTTGGGTGGAGCATATCGGGAAGGAGGAGTTAGATAGGAGAGCTTGGGGATGGTATGTGCAGGTTAGACCAGAGGTGGAGAGTGGTGTTGCAGGGTGGGGGGGAAAGGGGGTTGTAAAGTTGAGTGAGATATTGGCATTAAGGAGGAACTCGTGAGATGGGTAAACTAGTGAGTAGATTCCTCTTGCTATTATTGGTACTCCGTGAGAAGAACATATATGAACAGTGGCGTGAACAAACCTCATTAATGACAACACTTCACTGGCTCTAGCTCAGCCAACTCTGCAACCAAAAGCCTGTGTACTTTATACTGGTGCCTTTCCCTCCTACATGTTTTGTCATAGGAAAGAGTTCTTTAAGTTACATCATATATTCAGAGCCGAGTTTTAATTCACCGGATTGCAAGATAGCGTAGCGATTAAGTAGTCTTACCTATGGCAGAATGCAAATCGAAAGCAACGACTATCATATATTTACAGCGTGGCAACTGCTTGCTAATTAAATTTTTGCCAAGAGCTCCAGTCTGAACGTCTGTAGCTCTTTAACTGAATGATGAATCATCTCCGTGCTCGTGCTACCAATACGAAGCATGTCTAATATGTCTGAGATGGCCTTGAACAATGGCCGTGGCACAACCGATGCCAGCTCATACCTAATAATAACTTCATCCCACTTCATTATTATTTCGAGAGGCTGAGTGGTAATGGCATAACTACCAAATTAGAGAGTCCGCGTTGGCCGCCAAAAAGGTGTCAGATTAATTTCGGCCAGGCCAGTAGCCTACATCTTCCTTCTGCTATATTTTGATATTGAGATGTGGCAAAGCAGATAGCAAATATTTTGTATCATGAGGGAAGGGTTTAGCTTCGAGGTCTTCAGGCAGCGGATTCAACTGGTGAAAGCGCTTGCCAATACCATCCTCTCGTACTTCTTTGAGTATTTTGTAGATGCATCCATCAATCTTGACATTGAATTTCATGGGGAAAGTATTCATCGTTAGCATGGAGTCGTCTGCATCTGGATGCGCGCCGTTTAAGCTTTGTATGTTTGTATGCTGCACCTGTGTACATTTATCAAATAGGCTTATCATTTTAGCTTCGTTCTATGAAGAAGATACTGTAGGTATATGGAAAATTCGCAACGTGGATTTCCGCTCCCTTCTCAACTCTAATAATGCGGTATCCATGTCCGTAATTTGCTAAGCTCTCGTATCTTTAAACCCTTCGCAGACTATCACACCGTTCTATCTTCATATTTCTCTGTATAAGAAGTTTTAATGCTTCTGTATCTTTTTCCATGGCAATAGCTCTTCCTGTAACCCACTCCTGTGTACCGCTGTGATCTAGCGATCGACCACAAGCGACCTCAAGGAGGCCGTAAGCGCCAGCGACAAAAAACCGCGGTAGCCGCTCATGAAAAAGTCTCAAGGATGTGTTATAGACTTAGGCATCGGTTTCAAAGTCTCATATACCTCTAGATTATTTAATTTTGGAATTTCGTTTTCAGCACTGCTAGAATGAGTTGGAATGTATGCCTAAACGATTTAGTTATTTAAAACCCTCGGGTGCAATTGAATTTAGCTGTGTACATAAGTTGTTATTCAAACTTTTTCAGTCCATTGCATTAAACAGCCTTATTTTTGGGAAGCAAAAACATGTTTAACAAGAAACTCTTTCATCGTAAAGACAACGAGTCTAGAAAGAAGAGAGACGGCCGAGATGATCAAAGAGAGGCACCAAGGGGAGGCTCAAGAGCTTCATCTCGAGACAACCGCAACATTCCTCGATCTGACATGACCTCCAACTATCGAGAACACATGAGGTATCTTAAACCTGTCCTCAAACGTTTCGCAGTCATGCCTGGATTGTCGAAAGATGCTGGTATTCTCTTACAGAAGGTACTAGATCTTTTCAAAATGTTACGCGAGAACAATGAATCGCTATTTGGGCATAGCAAGATAGGAGGTGACTGTGTAAAGGAAATCGAGAAGAATCTTGCAAACTCTCAGAAAATTCAACGGAGGATTGATAAATATATCAAGAATGAAGAAAAAAAACTCAGGGAAGAAGGACCGATGCAGAAAGAAGGGAACATAAAGGCTTTTGAAGAAGGGTTTAAAGAAGTACATAAGTGTTCACCTGAGACATGGGAGGTCAGAAGAATAATAGAAAAAAACACGGATGATTTAGGGCTTATCATCGCTGAATATGATGAGCTTCTCATATCAGAAAATTGTATAGAGGACGATTATAACAAACAAGTAGTAGAGAAACTTATTTCAAGGTCTTCGAAACTCAAAGCAAAACATGAGGAAGCACTATCTATTCTTGCGAAAGATGATCCTCAAACGCAGAGCAGGGAATCGAGGAGTGATACGCGGGTTCCTAGACCAAATAATACTAGGAACTATACGGGGCATGCTCGTTGATCGTTAACAGGGAGTAATTAAGTCTGAGACTGCTCATTTGCTGTCGACGCATAATCAAGAGCCACCAGCACGGCAAGATTAGTCATGTTCATTCTTGGAGTTTGGGTGGAAGTCTCGTCGATTCACTGTTATTTGAGTTTATCTGTTTGATATCGTTGAGATAGACGGGCCTGCCTTATGAGTCATTGTGGATGATAGCCCCCCTTTACCATAGTTATTGTACGCTTCCCTAATACTCCATTTTTGCATGGATCTATTAGAGCTATCATTGCTCGATCAAAAACATAATCTTGCAATATTATGGTACACACAGAATAGAGTCTGAAAGATCGTGATTAAATATGGTTAATCGATGTGACACTCGAATATCAACGGTTTCTTCAGCTGGCAAATGTATCCAAAAAATATATTGCAAACTGAAAATTGGGAGAAAAAGTTCCCGTATTTATTCGGTATGCTAAACCCGTTATTCATCTCCAAGTAAATCAAGATGATCAGACTTACACAATCCCTTGTGAAGTCCTCCGATCTACATCTTGAACAGGTTCGGGTTGGATCGCCTGTTGGAGATGACGGAAATGGAGAAGTACGTATTTTGTCCTTCAACTCCATATGATAGAGGGCTTTGGCAAAGAAAATATCTATCATTTACACTTGTTGACGGTCTCGCACTTGAAAGTATCGTGTTTGAAGTCTCAGCTAGTCGGACAACATGGCTGACCATAAATATGATGACTAGAATCTGGAGCCTATGCGGGCGTCAATCCCAGAGGAATACATGAGTGAAATTCTGGTTTACGATAGCAATGTAATCGAAATGCGACTTTCAGCAGCATCGAATGGAAAACATAATAGACTGACGCTGTAGCTGAAACGACATTCCCTTGCATGTGTGAAAATACATCTCCTTGGCATTTTATTCAAACATTTTGACAGACATCCATCCTGTAGCTCCACCCAAAAACGCCGACCCAATGCTGTAGTTTTACAGATGATGATAAGATACCTCCTCGCTATCCCCTAGTGTTTCATTCGTTTCTTTTGAGTTCGCCTCGAACCGATCCACAACCACCCTCACCACCTTAGCTCGTTTTTATGTTTGTTTGCATTGTCACCACCCTCTTTTGCATCATCCTTCTGCTCCGCACCCTTCGTCTCTGAGCTCTCATCTGCAAACCCCAAGTTCTTGAATTCGTCCTTTGCCATTAAATTCCTGCAGCACACCACAATCATTAGTCCTCAATACCTTAGACCCTCATCCAAATCCCGATTTCCAACCCAGAATATGTATTAAAGCCAGTGACCCACCTATCCATTCGACACGACAAATATGATTTCGCCAGATCCCTACATTCTGGATCATTCATGCCTCGAACCTTCTTCATACAATTGAGATAACTTTGCATTACTGATTTGCATTCGCCTATAGTCGCATTGTCGTATTAGTATATCGTTCTAAGATTCCACGATCCAAAATCATTTCCGTTTGCGCACTCGTGAATTCGTATTCAAGGAAGGAAAGTAAACCATACCATCATGATCCAATGGAAAACTTCCTCTTTCTGGCCTGTATGCCCAATCCAATTGTTAGTGATCTCTTTACCAGAATACATGACAAACTATAAAATCATAAAAACAACATACGGCGAAGGTTTGTTATTGACCATACGCCCACCCGGGCTTCCAAATGTACTCATGATTATTGATGTGTATTTACTGTTGAAATGATCTGATGTTATCGATAATTTGGATGGACCTGGTCGGAAAAGGATTTTCTGTTATTCCGATGAGTTTACCCCGGATTTATGACGTAAGCTATTTGGAGCTCTAATGAGGGGTCAACATCGATGACAACTACTTGAGTAAAAAACAATACATTTGTAATGAAAAAATTAATATTAAATAAATATATCTTCCTACTTATAAGTAGCTTGTCTATTAAATAACTTCACACATTACCTCAAATACACAAAATGCCAATGCAAGTCCCCGTCCAGAATACCCCTCTTCAAAGCTCTAAACCACGGTGCTAATATCTATCCCAGGAAACTAGAAGGAAGCTGTCAATGCGGCCTTGTAGAGTTTTCTCTTCAATCCCAGACTCCCGTTCCATACCAACTTTGCGCATGTTCCATCTGTCGCAAATGTGGGGGTTATGGTGGATGCGTTAATCTCGGCGGTATAGCCTCTACCCTCGAGATTACCAAGGGCAAAGAACACATCAAGTACTCCTCTCTCTTCCCTTCTCATACCATGAAATCTAAACCTTCTCAGAAAGTATACGGCAACCGCCGACCGTGGCAAACCCACCGCTAAAAAATGCACATCCGAACGCAATTTCTGCAGCGAATGTGCATCAATGCTCTGGCTCTGGGATAAAACGTGGCCGGAACTGATTCATCCTTTTGCAAGTGCAATTGATACGGAACTACCGATTGCGGAGGAAATGGTTTGTGTGAAGGGAGATAGTAAGCCGGAATATGTCAGGTGGCCGGAGGGAAAGAAGAAGGTTTATGAGGGGTATGGGGAGTTTAGTATCGAGGAGTGGCATAAGGAGAAGGGGGTATGGGTTGATTGAAGAGATGGTAGGATTGCAGGGTTTGACTACCTGAATGGATTTGATATGCGATGGTAATGACGTTTACGCTTGCTTGAAATATTGTGGACGTTATCTTTATTTTATGAGTATTTTATCATACCACCTTTCTTTCAGACTTTCAAAAACGGAAGTCCAAATTTACACCTTGCAACATTGACCACGAGGCTTTAGACTACAGGAAGAGACTCTCTGTAACATCGAGTCATCGTTATAGACACAACACTTTGTGCCAGATGTACTCCCTAAGCCAAACATGTCAGTACTCAGTAGAATCCACAAGCTTGAGTTTCTTATTAAATTGAAGCTGCTACTTCACCATCAAAGTCATGATAATGAAGATATCATGACATAATACTCTTACTGATCATTGGTTAAGCTCGAGACAAGAATGCCCTGCCCTTGTACAGCCCAGACAATAAGCAAGTTGCTTTACTTGAGCCCCCAACTGTTTTGATAATTCCTCGCAATGATCCAATAATGGTGGCTAAGCACCATCTTTTCTTTCGCATATGCAATGATTCAATATACCGGAAGCGAGACGACAAGAACGTGAGTTTCCAATCTCTCTTGCACGTTTCCACAAGTTAGATTGTTTAACCCGTTAGAGAAGACTCTCCATGGCGAATATATACATGGGTGCTCGATAACAGACACATAACACATATCTCAGAAACTCAACAACGCTAGCTCGCTGATAATACTGATTGGAAGTAAGACGCTTATCCACAATGTAGTCAGCACCGATAACCAGTTTCAAACCATCGTAACACATCGCATGTGAATTTCGAAGCGTCTAGAGCGCTTACAGCCCCCAATTGCCCCAACTGTATTCGAGCGATGTAACCTCATCACGGAAAACCGATGAACATGAGTCATCTATCGAACTCATGAAGCTTCAAATGTTCTATGTATGAGGTTTCTTACCCAATCTTCTGGCTGAGTTGCTTTTGAATATTTTCGAATTGAGAAAAGATCGGTTCAGTGTAGATAATCACAAGACATAGATGCCGCGTGTTAATAGTATCCCAGGTACCTGTAAGTGAGGCTGTGGGTATTGATATTTCAAATACTGTATTTTTGAGAATACATATGCTTCAACATTTGCACAAACACAAAGATACGCGTTTCGTCTCGCACCATCAGGTACATTGACCCAGTCTCCCTTTGCTTGCAATGAATTCCATGACACGATTGCCAAAAACATATCTTTTTCTTTTCCTATATATACCATCGGTCCTGGCAGATGATACCAAAAGTAACATATTCAGTACCGAAGCCTCATGTTATTCTCTCCCATATGGTGGATGGGGGTTCTTCTCTCATGCCATAACATATTATACCGTTATCGTGCTATGTTGTAACAGGAGACCCGGTATGCCATGGGCAGAGCGGGAAGAAGACAGTACATGGAATAAGGTACTTGCAGTCGCGCATTTGCTCATGACTCTGCCTCCTGCAATCAAAACAATGGTATCGTGTAGCCACGCATGGTAAGTTTTTTTTGCGTCCCTGCACCCATCCTTTCTAATCTTATTTTCCCTAGGCAATTCGAAAGCATAGCCGCGATGAAACTAGCTCTCTCTCTCTCTTCGGGATTCATAGCCATCTTCCCCTCACCCTGGTGGTTACTCCTCTATCTCCCCGGTGTGATTGCCGGTACAGCCGGAACAATCTCTCTCGCATCATCGAACTTTACAAATACAATGCTTACCGTCACTGCTGTGTTCGGGGGCGTGAGTCTTGCATGTTGTATTGCCAGTATAATTATATCGTGTTATCTTCTCGGGAGTGAGAAAGGAGATAATTTGAACTCAGGAGTATTGGCACTATTTAGTTTCTATACGGTATCCATACCGGTTTGTGTGGTCTTTGGAGCGCTGTATTCAGATTGGGTGTTGGCAATTGCGGCGGATAATTTGACTGGGTATCCAACTGATGAGTCGGACTTGGTTCAGGCGTTGTGGGTCTTGTATATGATTGGAAAGAGATTGAGTTTGTTGACAATTTGAGGGACTAATCAGTATGGGTCGCAGGCGATTGGCTTGAAGGAGAAGTATTTAATGATTGCAGTAATACTTACGTCAATGCCAAATATATCTCTACAATGAGTGAACAGTCACGAATCATGTTGCCATCTTCTTATTGTTCATGGCATCGAATAATTCATAAGCCGAAGCTTAGAACTTCACAAACAACCATGAAACGCACAATCCCATATCTAAAATCAAAATGAAGAACGACACCAAAGTATTTCCACTTAAGCCTCAAGCGTCCTTTCAAGACTTCATAAATGCCACAAGACTATCAGGTAAGATAACTTTCAAACCTAAAGTTGGTATGATCCAACCATAAAACCCACAGCCTCAAATTGAGATGAAATATCAAGACAGCCAACTACCCA